TCAGCCTGCAAATCCACAAAGAACATTCTGTAAAGGGGCCAGTGCAAATAATTCATGTGCAAACCACTCTTTCAAAAACCAGCCCGGGTGGTTGGCTTCTATTTTTCTTTGGTCACCCCTCTTCGTTGACACGTCGTTGTCAAGGAGCGTTTCCGCACACTCGGGGTTTAAGTTTGGCATGTTTAGCACATGTGCCCTCAGGACCCGAACGCATTTCACAAAATGATTTGCACGCGTGTATGTATCAAAAAACGGAATTAGTCTAAGCCTATGTCTTTTTAACCACACTAGATATATTATTCCAACGTGTGCCTATAGGCACACGTTGGAATACATGTGTGCATTTGGAAACACATGTCGCCAAAGGGGCAGACTAGCGCTAGTTCTTGGATTGTCGCGCAAGCAACCCTTTAGATTAAGCTTTCCATGCATGAACTTCTGAAAAGCGCCACAGTGGCAGAAATCTGCCCTGGCTGGCTGTAAGTTGCCACTTGTCACGCCGATAGTTTTTTTTGCCACTACGCCTTCCCAGGCACCACGCTTTGGCCACCTCCACCTTACACACTTTGACAACAAGAACTTGGCATTTCGCCTCACGTTCGCGCACTTGACTTGCACGATCTCCGCAGAGGGGTGTCGCATGGACAACAGAATTCGCAATTCGCCTCACTTTTGAGCACTCGACGCGGGCAATTTCCGCAGAGGCCGCAGAGGGCTCAGCGCGCAGACAAAAATTCGCGTCTCGCCTCATGTTCGCGCACTCAACGCGCACGATCTCCCGCACGCCGCGCGCAATCACTTTTCGCGTATTACTACAGTTTCGCGCGATCTCCACAGACGGGCCAAGGGTTGCGTTTCGTGAGCGCCGGCCCGCGTTAAGAATATGCCCTTTTGCCTTTTCGTCCCCAACACACACACCCCCCAACGCTGGCGCCAACGCCTATCCCAACTACATCTCACCCTCAGACCTACCACTACTACGACGATTTTTCCTATGCAGTCTACCTCAATCTTCAATGCAACCAGCACCCTACCAGACACCAATACCACCAATACAGCCACGCGCGCATAGGTTCCACCAGCATCGGTATCTCCAAGTGCGAGCTCAATCGACACGCCAAGCTAAAGCAACTGGCCAACAATCACCCCATCTCCGCAGAACTGTCTTTGAGGTATTGGCACTCCACCAACAACCTTCACCACTACAGTACTATATACCCTTCCTACCGCATCAACTATGATGCCACCTGGATTCGCGAACACCTCCACATACAAGACTGGCAACCTACACTCAATTTACACCACCTCTATTCCAACACCTGTACCACCTGCATCTCAACACCCGCATCACCTGTATCTCAACACCTGTATCACCTATACCTCCACACCTGTGTCTGAATACCTGTACCAAAATAACTGTATTTATGTAGGTGCGATATACCAAGGTGTTGCCCCTACTGCATCTAGCGCTCAGGCCCTAACTCCCACCTTGCTGCAGGGCTAGTGCGGTCATGTGGATTTGCACCCCATGGACACTGTGAATCTTTTTCGCCACTAGCCTACCTGCAGCTCGTCACTTGCGCTATCTCATCCAGTTCTTGGACATTTTGGCCTTCAACTTCCTTCACTTACTTGGTGAACTTTTTGCACTACCAGGTCACCACTTCTACCTGCAAGCAACGCGCTTGGCCTTCGGGACTGGCTCTCCACCTACTACTGGGCCTTCAAGGAGCACTAGCCAGGGTCCCAAGTTCCTGGCCACAGCGGCGCTCTGTTCTCACATCTTCCTCCACCACATGAACTTCAGCGTGAGAGCAGATGCCCTCGGTGGAAGCTCGAGAGGTGGATCTGCCACAAGATCTGGGAGATCTTCTACATGTTTGGCTCTACATGGAGAGCCTTGCAATTTACTCCGCCAACATCTACAATTTCACCTGGAGCTCACAATGGCGAGCTGAACTCTTGAACCAACGCGATCAACTTCTAGCGGGGCTTCCAAGACAAAATGTTCTTGTGAGAGGCCTGGAACACCAGTTTCGTTGGCCTGGCTGACTTCCAACGCCAGCAACGAGGCACTCAATCCAGCATTGGCTTTGTGATGGTCAAGCAAAAATCAAGTGACCCCGTAACCAAGAAGCCCACCTACTTGAACCTCTTGCCAGCGCAATCTGGGCGCGTGAAAGATCACGTCATCTTCAACATTCCCTACAAACGGAGCACTTCAGAAGAGGACAAAAGATCGTCCAGGACTTATTGGCAATGGGCCAACAGCCATCATGGCCTCCCACTACCTGATAGATCCTCCAAGTCTTTCTCCACCTCATTTCTCCACAGGGTCCTTGGCAAATGGATGAAGGCAGCCCGGATTCAGAAATGGAGAAGGAGGCTCATCGTAAAGCACATAAAGGTCAAAAACAGAAGCTTCAGGGTACGAGTGAACAAGCCCGACAACAGTGGATGAAAAATGAGACCCGCTACTACTTCAAAGCGGTGAATTAACTGAAGCTGGCCTCCCTTCTTTTGAAGAGGCAGATGTCATTAAGGAACTTCAAGGTCCACTGCAGGGCCAGCGTTTGGAAGGACGTCGCTCTGGCTTTAGGATCTTTTCTGACGAAGTGGCTGGAACACTGGATTGCCTTGAAAACAATTCCTGCAGAATGGAGGAAAGGCGGCTTTTGTACTCCTACCCAAACCCTCCAAGCCACCAATCGAACCAAAGGCTCTTCGTCCTATTGCACTTCAAACTCCGGTCACGTCACTTTTTGTACACCAGGCAAAAAAAGCAACATTGAATCAGTTGGTCTGGTATCCTCAGTTTGCATATTTGCCTGGCCGTGGCACTTGGGAAGCAATCACTCGTGTCCAGGCCCATCTTCGTGCCATGCAACAACTGACTGACAGGTGGAAGTGTGAGGCTAGCAAGATTCGTTCCCCAGCTGACAAAAAGCCAGCCTTGTATGGGGGATGTCAGTTGTTCCTGACTTTCAGGCGCCTTCGACGCTATGCGCAGGGAATTTCTACAACAAGCTTTCTCCCTGGTTGGACTCCTGGTGAACTCACACAGGTACTGATGCACTGGCACACTCAGACCTCGTACATTGCCCAATGGAAAGGTCTTGCAGGTGAACAACCTACCTTCAAAGGAGTGCGTCAGGGCCCTTTTCTCTGGGCCAGCTTCATTGCCTTGGCGCTCGAGTTAGTGGCACAAGAGACCACGGCACACTGGATGAGGCATCACTGCACTGTTGCACAGACGATGGTCATGCTTGCTTGCTGTGTTTTCATGATTTTCATGCACTTCAACAAGGTCTTTTCTGCTTTGGGAAACCTATTTCTGTATTGGAAAGGCTGGGCATGACCGTGAACATGGGCAATTCAACCACCATGATTCACTGGCGTGGAGTACAGTCGTTGGCCACCAAGCACTTCGTGAAAAGGAAGCTTCATCACTCAGTGTTGCGCATTCCATCGGATTCATCACAGTTTTTCGAGATTCCAATTGCTGAGAAGCACGATTATTTGGGAGTTCAAGTTGGGTACAAGCAACCACTTCGGAACACAATGCAGCGCAGATTCTTGCATCATAAGCAGATGAAACAATGGTTCAACAAAAACCCCCTTCACCGGGCTCAGAAGCTGTCACTGTGGCTCAAGTGTTTTCCTACAGCGATTTACGGTCTTGAGTTGACAACACCACAATCCCGTGTTTTCCAAGACTCCCCATCCTTTGCTGAGACAGGTTGCTGGCAATCATCCTTTTTGACGCACCAAACTCACATTGTTTTTTGAATCAACTACTGCAACATCCAGTTCACCTTCTTCGGGAGCAGATGGCTGCCCAGTTGACACGCCATGAGGCCAGGAGTGCTTCTCTCACTCCAGGTGACATTCTTCAACATCTTGACACACAAGGTCTTCAACAATCCCTGAACCTTGTTTCAGCCTGGCTTCAGGAGCTAGGCTCTGCCAAGATGGAGCGCTCACTTCCGCTGGCGCAATGTCTGTGGTCAACCCTTTCAGCAACAATACACACTTCGTCGTCATGAGCTCTACACGCATGGTATCATGCATCCACTTGGGCCCTCCTTGGACCTAGCCAGAGACGCTACGATGCTGGAGACATAGAACCTCACCATCTTCCTGACATAATCATGCAGAATGTCTGCATCCTATGGTTGGCGTGTGACCCCCATCAAGGAGCACAGATGGTCACTCTGGACGACGAGCAGCCGGAGAACTGGAAGCCACTGCCCGCCCAGCCTGGAGCAGATGATGAATATCAGGAGTGAGCCTCCGGCATCCTGTGAGTGGAAGGAAGACTGAGTGGCCCATTGCAGTAGACTTGGTGGACACCACACTGCTCTGGTAGCATCCAGATCTGCCACCGACCTTCCACCCACTGCATAGAGCGCAATGAGGCTCCCAAGGACATCCTGCAGCACCTGAGCTCTGGCAGGATTCAGAACTTTTGGTGGAAACCTTCACGGCGGCCTATGAAAAGTTGTACTCATCCAAGCCTTGCGCGTGCCATCCATTCCGTGTCACAGCCGAGGCTGCAAATTTTGAAGACCACTGGGCGCTTCTTCATGTAATGTGGAGGAGGCAGCAACGCTCGATTGCAAAGCAAGCAATCACGTTGGGCGAGCTGCTCACCGAGTGGGCCTAAGGTACCACGGTACAATGGAGCGGACTGTCGCCACTGTGCACAGGTCCACGCGGATCTTCTTGACTGAAGAGCGTAGAGAGAGAGAGAGAGAAAGAAAAACACAAAAAAGATGATGACAAATCCATTGAGATGATGATCCTGAATGTGATTTCAATGATGATGATAAAAATGATAGTTGGACAGTTGAAGTTGGTAGCAGTTCTTGAAGGAGAACCCTTCGCAGGTGCTTTTGGAAAAAAATATCAAAGTGTGTCGATGTGTGTGTGTGTGCGTGCGGTGTATGCATGGGGGGCATCTGACTTGTTCAAGGCTGATCGCCATGCCCCCGGATATCCTCGTGATAGCTCTTGACCCACTCTTCCGGACCTTGACTTGCGCTTGCCAAGTGACACATGCAGTGCAATACCCCAAGCGTCGCACAGTCATCAGCCATAGGCGAAAAGTATTCCAGCAAGGGCTCTCGGCAATTGACCTGACTCACCAGCTTGGCCCAGCTTGGCTTCTTCATGCTGAGCGTCCCTTCAGGCCAACACCCAGGCTGCACGCAAAAGTTGCACATCACGGCCCCCAGCGCCTCCAGAGAAACAAGCACCCAATTGAAAGAGTAAGAAAGTTGGCATGAGTGACCTGCCGAGCATGTGATGGAATGATATTGATATCTAGATGTATGCATCATATATATATATACTGCTTGACCTTGCTGACACGGAGGGGCCTCTCATTCCCTCACATCAACCGCCTGCAGAGTCAGTAGCAAAAGGGAGCCAGGAAGGGTGGTCTGCTTGCAAGTAGTCCTGAGCCACAAGCAAGGCCAAAGATTTGAGGCACATGAGTCGTAGTTTCATGCCACACCTCCAGTTTTCGCCAAACGCCATCACGACACTCGTACCTGTCATTGGAGGCACTTTCAATAGCATGTTGTGAGCGAAGGAAGCACCGCGAAGCTCTGGAGCTGGCGCACGTTCCCTCCCGCGTGTCACAGCTCAAGCAATGATGGAAAGATGGTAGCCCTGTGCGGCGGTCCATCCACCTGGGCGTTAAGCGAACAATTGCCGACATTACGACGGCCTAGACTCCACGACAGTGATCCAAAAAATCGTAGGAAAAAGCATCCTGTCACAATATGTGCATCAAAGCGTCCCATGGAATGCCGGAAACAAGTGATGCGCCTGAATTCATGCGTGCAAAACATCAAACGGTCCATTGCGTTCCCCAAGTTCCACAAAATGACTTGATGCCTGCAATCCACAAACACTGCCTAGATTTGCCTTGCAACGGTGTTCAACTTCTAAGTGGCGACTGAGGCCTTTGCGCAATGGTGCCGCGAATGCTCACCGACCTGCAAGAACCCTGTATTGAACTTCATGCACTTGAGTTTGCGATGCTTGAACGCATGTAGCATGCAATGTGGAGGCGTGGGCTGCAGGAATGCGACACGTACAACTTCGCCAGTTGAACTCATTGCTAAGCCAGGTAAAATTGCTCTTGTACTGTGATGGGTTCTGTACTGTGATATGACTTCCGGCATGATTCGGCGACATTGCCGCAACATTTTGCTTTCCCAACGAGGCATTCAGCCATCTGTTCGCTCAGAGGCTTCACCAGCTTCGCATGCAACTGGGTAAATGTGGAGGGTTGCAGAAAGGAGGTGACTTGAAAAATCCCCATGACCTGGCTGTGGAGAAGCAGGTGAAGGCCTTTCACACCCTCGCGGAGACTTAGCATGTGGGCCCATGGCGGCCTTGCAGGCATACTTGGAAGACATGCAGTGGGACCTCAGTGACATGCATGAGTGGCGCAGGCCAAGCATGCTTACATGTACATTGGGCATCCATGGCCAGCTTTAAACAGAGCCCTCCAAATTGAACTACGGCTTCAGCAGGCAGACCGGAAAAGTCCTATGAAGAGGAGCTTGCCTATCCCGTGGACTGGATCATCTACAAAGTAGTGCCTCAAGAAAGAAGATCAGCAAACCCGGAATGCCCTGAAGGCCTGGACGCAGGGTTCGCTTCGCACTCATTCCCACAGTCAGGCAGCTCGGTGTCCGTTGCGTGATGAGCAGGCCAATGTGGTGCATCTTAGCTGGCTCTACAAATTCTTCAAGGACAAAGAGCCTTCCGTACCAGAGAGTTGGGCCGTCCAGATTGAGGCAGGCAATAGCTTGGAGCTGTGGGGAGGGGGTTGAGCGATTGAGCTACCCCCTGATCCACGTCCTGAAGAGAGTGAGTCTTTTGTCTGTGAAAGACTGATGACTGAAGGATGGCCCATAAGACTCCTGCCCAGTCAACATGTTTTTCTGAGCGTCAAGGCCACCACCAGTGAAACGAGGTTTCGCAAATTTGTGGTTGCTGTCCTCATTGGCACCTGGCAAGGGGATTGCTTGTCAATGGTTCATGCACCTGCATCAGGCAGCCTGGGCTGCCTAAAACAAGAAGGGCAAGGCAGCCCACATTGCGGATTTGTGGCGCAATCTTGGAGAAGCAGAATGCCAACGGTTGCAAGCCTGCCGTGTTACGGTCAAGCAGGTAAAGGCCAATGGTGACCTGAATAGAGCGCTCCAACAGCGCTTGCAGGCCAGTGACATGGCCAAGCAGCGAGCGCTGAGAATGAATGTCGAGCAGACAGGCTAGAGGCCCTGGCACACTGACATCTACCAGTTTGCCGCTGAGAGAGTCAAACTTCTTTTGAGTGACAAGTCCCACTTCATGCATAGGGCATAGGCCTGGGGCCGGTCTGTCAGTGAGAGGGGGGGACCAACCCAGGAAAATGGGGGGCCATGCTGAGATCTTTCGGAAGCTCACCCAGAGGGCGGAGGATGGGAACCTTCGCCAATGGGAACTCTTCAAGAGTGGGGTAAGTGCTGCCATGTTCCACCCACCAAGATCCAGGCGAAGGCTGACTCAAGGATGCGTTGAATCGGATGGTTGAAGAAACGAATGAGGCCCAGGACGAACATTGTTGGAAGCTCCTGCTGAGCTACATCAAGTGTGACAGATGTTGGCCGAAATCCGAAACTTTCCAGAAGGTGCAGCAAGGAGGCCCTATATGCATCGGTTGAGGGGTGAGTGGTGTGTCAATGAGAACCAGTTGTGGCACAGCATCTTGAATACCAGAGGTGCCGGAAGACCAGCCCGCTTGCAAAGGGCAAGAGGTTGGGATGGCTCAGCGTCGTGTGCAGCCCTGGCCCCAGATATATTCAATACATCCTGTTTTGGCTCCGGGTGCCAGAAATGCTAAGAAATCCGAAGGGCATCGCCAGCATTTTGCTGTGCAGCTGACACTTGCCGCTTTTGGCCTACAAGGCCGCAGCATGAGCATGGATGGTTGGAAAGAACAAAAAGTAGAAAAGGAAAAAAAAAGATACCGGAAACGGCAAAAAAAATGTGGATAACAACAACGGACAAAGGGAAAGGAAGAACCACAAAATGGGATAAGAAAAGGGTGTACTTTTAATTTGTGAGTTTTCACTTTTTCGGGATTGTTTCAAAATCATTGGAATAGAGCAGGTTTCTTATTATATAGTTCCTAGCTAATTACAGCAAGTTTGTCTCCTTGGCAGAGACACAAGTGTCGTAGCTGGCCCAAAGCATTGGAATAGTGCAGGTTTCTTATTAATTGCTAGCTGATTACATTAATGTGGGAGCTGTCGCAGCTGGCAAAATACATTGGAATAGTGTAGGTCTCAAAGAAATTCCTACCTATCACAACAGATTGGTGCAGTTAGCAAAGAAAGAGCAAAGAGAAAGAGAACTAGCACAGAGACATATTTGGTTGGTTAGAAGGTTTTGGTGCGGGGAGTTCACCTTAAAATATTGACTTCGTGGTAGGTGCGGGTGTCGGAGATGAAGTGCAGATTTCGTGGTGCGGGGGGGTTGGGGGGGGGCGGAGCGCCCCAGCACACCAGATCCAAAGGTGATCAGCTCATGCTTGCTTGCTTGCTTGCTTCCTAAACTGCACCAAACTGCTGTGATAGGTAGGAATACACAAAAAGCAAATAGATCAACAAAGCAAACAAATGGAAAAGCAAAAAAATAAAGAAGAGAAAGGAGAACAGCTGCCAAAGCAGAAAAGCAACAAAAGCAAAGAGCAGAAAGACAAAAACACAAAAAGCAGAACAGCAACAAAAGCAAAAAAGCAGCAGAAGCAGAAAAGCAACAAAAGCAGAAAAGCAGCAAAAGCAGAATCCAAAAAAAATAGTAATAATAATCCCGATAAAAAAAATGCCCCTCCATAAGAAAAGGACGAGGACATGGAGGGCAGAGAGAAATGGAAAATGAATGGACAAAGGAAGAAGGAAGCTTCAAACTCAGAGCCGCGCCAGGTCGCATTTGGATCCACAAAGTGGGCATCGTTCAGAGCACCCACGAATCAAAGACCAGGCTTGGAGAGATTGCTCTCGAAGCGCCTGCGCCACAGGATCCAAATCCAAGCAACCTGAAGCACAACCAAAGCTGCCAAAGCTCATCAAAGCACAGCCCCAACACCTTCTGCAGCTGCTCGGACAACCGCTTGGGTATCTCACGCGAGTCCGCAAAGTCGCTGATGCGTGCCTGGCAAAATGTGAAGAGTAAAAAACATTGCGGGAATTCTGTCCTTTAAGAAATGCCTGCAACGTCTCCGCAAAAAGTTTCGGATCTGCAATCTGAAAATCGGCGGTTGCGGGCAGGCGTTCAGCCAGCTGGCGATGAGCCTGGAGCTAGCAGCTAGCAAAAAATGTTGACCAAAACAATTTGCACGAATTGCTCCTACTGTGCAAGAAATACACAAGCATCCTCAGCAAGGTCGGCATTGGTGGGCACGTGCTCAGCATGAATTGAGATGAAATCCTGGGCCACCAACCTTTGCAACCACTGATGCCTAGAGTCCTAGTCAGGATAGTGGTTGAGCTAAAAATGCGGCACCCAGTCCTTTAGTTCTTTGATAGACCTTCTTGAGCTGTCAGTGCGTCCATCTCGCCCCTGCTCAACAGTAACGTGCTTGATTCAATCATGTCATGTTATCCAAGCTAAGCATTCAGCCATCGTAGGCCTGTGAAGCCGTAGCTATGTCCACTTTCTCTGCGGGGCATACCACCTTTCTAGCCCACTCGCCAACTACCTTAGTGATGCCGACAAATACGTCAGAATCAAGGCCCATTGGGTTGAAATTTGCTGGGATTGTATCTGGCAACGCTACTAGGAGTAGGGGGCTACTAGTAGCTCCTGGCCTTACTACTAAGAGCAAGGAGGCTACTAGGGGCTCCTGGTCCTTTTTAGCTCCTGGCCTTCTGCTCTTACTACTAGGAGCTAGGACGCCACTAGGGGCTCCTGGCCATACTACCAGTAACAACAAAGCTACTATTCTTCGTTATGTCTTTTTTTAAGCATGTGGTTCCTTCTTGTTTTAATGTTTTCGTTTTTTATCTATCCTTTTTTTGCTTGCTACCCCCCCCCCGAGCAAGGGGCTACTAGTAGCTCCTGGCCTTACTGCTAGGAGCAAGGACGCTACTAGGGGCTCCTGGCCATACTACCAGTAACAACAACTACTATTATATAATTCTTTCTGTATGTCCTTTTTTAGCATAGTTATCCTTTTATTGTTTTTTGTAATTTTTTCGTTTTTTTTGCTTGCCCCCCCTAGGAGCAAGGGACTACTAGTAGCTCCTGGTCATAGTACTAGGAGCAAGGACGCTACTAGGGGCTCCTGGCCTTACTACTAGTAACAATAAAGCTACTATTCTTTCTTTTCTTTGTTTTGGCCCGCTCCCCCCCCTCCTAGGAGCAAGGTGCGTGTGTGTGTGTGTGTGTCCAACCCTGGACAAAGGGTCTTCCACCACCACTCTTTCCATTTTACACAGGCAGGGGCGTGTGGCCTTCTTGTCCTACCACACGCAATGAAGCTATGGACAAGAAGGGGAAGCAGGGACTGATCATCCCTGTGTACCTGCTCGTTTCTCCACAAGCTGTTACTCCAATTTTCCATTTTTTGATTCATGGTCGTTTGCATGATACTTCCCACAAACCTATTCGTCCCCAGCAGCTGCGCCGCCGGTTTGCTTGCTGCCGTCTTTGTGACAACAATGTTAAACCTTTCAAGTGCTCGGACCCATGCACCTTTCTGTTCTCTCACCTTCCTTCCCAACCTGACTTGCGTTAACTGAAAACCCAAGTTCGAAGTGTGTCCTGCTCAGCCGTCCCACTCGGGTGCTGAGTGTGATCCCCGTCACAGGGGCGCCGATCTTGCATGGGAAAGCAACCGCCCCAACGCACCACCGCTCACTGGACTCTCACAGGAAGGCACCGACACCCTCACAGAATCAACCGCCACACCGGCCGCCGGGCCAAAAAAACGGTTCTTGAAGAAT